AAATTTTCCACTAATAAAACTCGCCAAATTGCTTTCACTAGACGCTCTGTCATCTCCGATCATCCTTTGTACCTCTATGGCTCCCATATCCCTGAATGTGATATGGTCAGGTTTCTAGGCCTTCTCTTTGACCATAGGTTATCCTGGAAACCTCACATTACCTCTCTGAAGGCAACTTGTCACAGCCGGCTGAACCTTCTTAAAACCCTTGCTCATCTTTCATGGGGAGCTGATCGTCGAACTCTCCTTCGCCTACATTCAGCCCTAATTTTTCAAAACTTGATTATGGTGACCAGATCTATTCAGCGGCCTCTCCTGCTACTCTACCCTTAATCCCATCCATCACCGGGGATTACGTTTAAGTCTTGATGCTTTTCGCTCTTCCCCTATTGAGAGCCTCTTTGCTGAAGTGAATATTCCATCCTTGTCCAATCGCCACAATGCCCATTGCCTTCGCTACTAGGTTCGCTCTCATGATCTCCACAACCCTTCCATATATAGAATAGTCACCGATGTTAGTAGACATTCTTTGTTCGTTGCCCCTGTTGCCGCATCTCGCTTTTCCCTGCCCCCCTGGGAAGTTCCGGCTGTTCGAGTCCGCTCTTTCTCACTCCCTTGTGCGAAAGCCCAACTTCCTATGGTAGCTTCCTGCTCTCTTTTTCTTGACCATTTCCGCTCTCATTCTCATGCCATCGCTGTATACACAGATGGCTCTAAGTCTTCTGACGGCGTCGGATTCGCAGCAGTGTTTCCGGACAGTGTTGTGAGTGAGCATTTACTACCCTCGGCTAGCATTTTTACTGCTGAATTGTATGCCATTCTTGTGGCACTTACCCATATTGCATCTATGCCTGTCACCATTTGTGGTTGTTTCAGACTCCATTAGTGCTTTACAGGCTATACAAAAATTTGATACACCTCATCCCCTAGTTCTCCGTATCCAACTTTGGTTATGCCGTATCTCTACCAAGTATAAAGATATTGTTTTTTGTTGGGTCCCTGGTCATGTTGACATACAGGGCAATGAACAGGCAGACACTGCTGTGCAGTCAGCAGTACATGACATTCCATTTTCATATAGAGGTGTTCCATTCACAGATTATTTTGCTGTAATTGCTACCCACCTTCGCACCCTTTGGCAACAGTGTTGGTCTGATCTGCTCGATAACAAGCTTCATTCTATTAAACCTAGTCTAGGTTACTGGCTGTCTTTTTGTCATCAGTGTCGAGGTTGGGAGACTATTCTCCCCCATTTTCGGATTGGCCACACTCGGTCTTACTCACGGGTATCTCAGGGAGAGGCACCCTGTTCTTCTCTGTGAGAATTGTCAGGTTGCAGTATCTGTTAGCCACATTATTAGACTGCCCACTCTATCAACGAGTACACAATTTACCTCCAGCTTCGTCTCCGCTCTGTTGCTCTCTCTTTACCTTCCCTTCTTGCTGATGGACCCTCCTTTAATCCAGACTCTTTCATTGACTTTTTGACAACTGATTTACTCCACAAACTCTGATACCTTTAGCACTCCCCACAACTCTTTCTACCTCACTCTCTTGCTACCCTAGCTGTATAGCCCCTGTGGCTTAGCGCTTCTTTTTGATTATAATAATAATCTTGCTACCCTCTACCCCCGCACTATCCACTGCCCCGCTGATCTCCGTAACCTACCAATCCCTTTTGCCACCTGATACCCTTGCTTCCTTCCCTGCCCTGCAGTACTGTATAGCCCTTGTGGTTTAGCACTTCTTTTTTATTATAATAATACTGGATCCTCATAGGTTTAGTGCTCCCCATTAATGTAATAATACAACAACTGGAAATTTGAAAAAAATAAATGCTGAAGCTATAATTGCTCCCTAAATATTCTGTTCACTTTAATATTATACACTTACTAACCTGACTGGCTCCATATTTTCTACATAACCAACTATTGTGCTAATTGAATCATACTGTTCATACTAGTGGTTATTGATATCTTTATTCCTCGTTCATGAATTTTTGCTCCAAAATCTCTGACAAGGAATTTTCACTGACCCCAAAAAGTACTTTGCTGAAACATTTCAAGACTAAGCTTTACACAAAATACTGCACACAATAAATTTAGGACTATTAGAATATGAATCCCAATGATATAAATCATGTCATGGATATTTTTATAATGTAACCAGTTATGTATATTATAATTAAATTATGGTAAACTGTAACTAGTACCCCCAAACCCATTCATTTTCATTTTCATTCCTGAAACATGCTTTGAATGTAAGACTAAGGCAAGGTGTATTCAAAGCAGAATATAAATACAAGCTGTCAACCTTGCTATGGATAGAATATTAAATGGGTACCTTAAAAATGTTGGGACCATTAAGACACACTTAAAATTGACATTTTATTTTAGAGAAAGGAGAGGTAATACAAAATACTAGGTACCCACTTACAGAAATTTGCAGAGTACAACCAAGCTGAACAGGTCAGCTACAGCACTGCAAGGGAGTGGAATGAACTAAGACACAGTAGAAGCAGACCCAAAACAGGATCATATGAGGCAGGCCCAAAGAATAGACCTTGTTCTCCATAACTTTTTATAGGTAATCACATACTAGCCCAGAATCCAGTAGAGCAGTGTTTAGCTAGTCTGACTTCAGGCTTCTTGTTCAAATTTTCAGTTATTCTCTAATTTACATCCTTGCCCCCATCCTGCAGCTACTGTCTCCTGACCCCTTCCTTCAGAGAGAGGACCTTTGATGCTGGTAAGGGAGCTCTTAATCTAAGGAAGTGCACCTATCTTCCCCTTCCTCAAGTTAAACCAGATTGTCTCCCATATCCCATGTGCTGTATGACCCCTATGGGTTTAGCACTTCCTGTTATATAATGAACCTTTTCAGTTAACGGACTAATGGACAAAGGTGCGTGTGTGTTATTGCCGATTGTTTATTATATTCAAATTATATTTGTCATGATTGGTTCTGGTGACACTAATGGACACAAAGAACGCACTGTCCTGTAAAACAATACAGGGAGGGTGTGAGAATGGGTGCGAGTGTGAGGGTGAGTGGGTGTAAGAGGATGGGAGTGAAAAAAGGAACATAAGGGAAGGAGGGAGGGTAGATGGATGAACCAGAGGGTGGCTTTCAGAATGCATGAATAGGTACATGGGTAGTGGGTATGAAAGTCACAGGTGGGTGGTTATGAAAGAGGGTGTGAATGTAGGTAAGTGCAAGGTGGGCAAGAGATGAGTGTAAGGGTGGATGGGTCAGAGATTGGTATGAGAGAAAGGGTGGATTTGAGAGGGTTGATGTAAGAGGTGGGTATGTGAGAGCAGAATTGGGGTATATTACAGGGTGAGTGGGTGAATGCATGAGTAGATGGATTAATGAGGATGGGAATTTGTAGGTGAATGTAAGAGGGCGAGTCTACCTTGAGGACTCCTGCTACCTGGGTGTTCCGGGGATCAGTGTCCCCATGGCCTTGTCCATGACCAGGCCTCCTGGTGGATCAGGGCCTAGTCAACCAGGCTGTTACTGCTGGCTGCATGCAGTCCATTGTATAAACCACAGCCAGGCTAGTCATGTACTGACTTAAGGTATCTATCCAGTTCCCTTTTGAAGACGGCTAGGGGTCTACTGGTAATTCCCCGTTATATATGACTGTAGACTGTTGAATAGTCTTGGAGCCCCAGAAGATTTTCCAGGTGTTAATTATATCTTTCTTACTTGCATTCCCAAGAATACTGATCATGGGACTTTGAATGGTCAAAGTAATTAAAGTGCTTAACTGGGCGATTGTGAATGTGAGGATAGGTGGGTGAATGCTAGAGGTTGGGTGGATAGCTGGGCAGATGGGGGGGGGGGGGGTGGCTGCTTGAGTGAATGTGAAAGGATGGGCAGGTGAGCATAGAATACCTTAGTATATGAAGATATTGGACTTGGATGCAAGAACTGCACTGACTAAATGTGTTGTGCACAAGAACGTCTGTCCTGGGTTCCCACACTCGCCCACCCATCTCCCTGCCTTACCAACAATACCCCTCCACCAGACCTCCCACACTATCCAATAACAAATACAACGTGAATAAATCTGTGCAGATCTTCGACGATCTCTGCAAAAAGGAAGAAAAAAAAAATATACACAGGGAGGGCAGCAGTGAATCAGTGATGGATGGAAAAGCCTCCCTTGGCTCTCAGCAAGCCCATTTTCCCATTCCTGGGACTGGAGCATTCCTCATCCCCCCCCCCTTTCCCTATGCCTGACAACCACTCACAGCTAACACAGCATAAATAATAAATCTGTAGTTCTTTACCAATCTTTATTTAATTAATGTAATCTCCTTATATAATGCATACATGTTACATACACAAAGTATGAATACATTTGGTAAAAAATTAACTGAGAAAAAATTCATAAATGGACAAAATCTCAAAACAGATTTTTTCCCACTTTGTCCGATACTTTCATTTGTACGGCCAATTTTTTTTTTTGTCCAAAGTGTGTTAATGAGAGGTTTAACAGTAATTTTTTTTTATATCTTGTGAGTGGTCTCCAGCCCTTTACTTTGGGATGCCACCTCTCTTCTCTTGCCTATTATAATATTCCCTAAGGTAGATTGGCCTGCCACTTTCTTGTAACATTTTCTCACAAATATTATTCAAAACATCAGATTAACCTCAGCATTGCCTTAACCCTTTTGTACAAATCTGTGGAACAGATACCAATTTGAATTAATAACTTCATCTGTTGACAGAAGCTGTAAGAGCAATACTATAAAATCCTGCCTTTTCTACCTAGTGAAAATTACATTAAAATTTTCAGTAACTTTGTGTACAAGTGGAGGATGTACTCAAGTTTAGATAACTTGCCAGTTTATGATGGTTGTCATGTGTTTTTGATAGCTTGTTTGCAGATGTAGTTTTGCCAGCCTTCTTACCTGTTGAGAATGCCTGCAACTGCTGGCATGCTTCCCACATTCTGATTAAGTTTTAATCAGTAGTATTACAATTTGCAGATAGAAGAGGACACACAATTATTTGGGTTATGTGCACCATAACAGTCATCCTCGTTGTTGCACTAGCCATCATTGTTCAGAATGCCTGGAAGACAGCATCCATCATTGACAGCATTCGGCTTAAAGATCTTCGTGAAGACCCACTGTTAAAATAATTTGTGGGCTAGGTAAGTGACCAGGAGTGGCAGGAAGCAATACCTTGGGCAGATGAAGACTACCTTGATCACATTCATGGTTTTGTGTGACACAATTGCACTACAGTGCTAATTTATTTTTTATTTACTTTGAAGTGACTAGAAGGTAATAGCATAATATAATTTCCCATAGTGGTTTTTAAAATTAACTTGAGCCAAAGTTGTGTTCCTTTTTATATGTATTATCAACCATTTATTTGGTACTCAAATATCTTTCAATAAAAGAGAAAACACAATTGCTTGCTTCTTTGGTGATGTCTTTCAATAAAACGAAATATTTCTTTGGTAATTTTCCAATACAATGGAAAATATTTCTTAAAACTTCTTAATTATTCTAAATACTTTTAACTATAGTAGTTAGTTCTGATTAAACTTTACTTTGACAAAAAATAATGGATTTTAAATGGTTTAAGTAAGTGTTTAAGCAGTTTTTGTAATTTTCAGTGAACAATGTAAAAAAAAAAAAAAAAAAAAAAAAGGGCACATTCCAGTTACTATGCATTATTAGTCAGCCACTGTTGGTTAGTGCTACTCATTGCTTGTGGTCATTCAGGCAGGCTGTAACATAATTATTAATTTCTACATATTTGACAGGAGGTTGTAACCATCAGCAAGGAGGAATATGCATATGCTAAATGTAATTCCAGTGCAGAATTTATTGTTTTCATAGGAGTATCTCCATGAAGGGACATCTAACCTGAGTTAGCAAAGATGAGTCACAAACGAGGGCCACGGGGAAAATTATATAGGTTTCGATAAGATTACTTGAAAGCAGTTATATATATAATAATAAATTTCCAGTTTATAAGTACAGCTTAAGACAATGATGTAGATTCTGCCAAGAATATCAAATCACTGCTAGACATGTGAAGCATTTATACAATACAGAATTCTAGAAAGATTCCTTGCCTCCTCAAAGTTAATAGGTTACTAATTTTTGCTTCTAGAGTACTGAACTGAATAATTTTTGACCTTTCGCTTATGGCACATGAACCTGCCAGTCGTACTTCCCAGACATCAGTACTCATCCACCAGGTAACTATCATTTATGCAGGTTCAGTTTTATACGAGTACAATACATAATTTTGTTTTAGTTTTGGGATGTATGAGTTTACAACTGTACTTTGTAAATGTGAATAACTTAGGAATATTCAATAAAAGGATATTTTAAGTTTGCAATTTTTTTTCATTTTGTCTTTAAAGATAAAAAAAATAAAATCTTATATGCACCAGTTACAAAATATATTGTTTTCCATATATATTATACAAATACATTAACAATACCTTATTACTAGTTGATTTTAATTTGTCCATAAATAAAAGGTTGATTTCAGTTTAGTAAAATTTTTGATGAATACAATTTCAAATTCTAGTCAATAACTCCTGAAGAATGAAGACACCATTTTCCTGAAATTTCATAAATTTTCGTTGAGCCTGAAACTTCTGAATTTAATTCTACAAAAATCAGCTGAAGGGATTGTCATGCAGATGGAACAGCACCAGTAATATCCATATCAGCAACCAATCTGGGAAAAAACGAATTATATTATTAGATAAAAGTTGTAAGCCTAAGAATAAATAACATGCTGTAATACTACTAGAAGTTGGCCATCAGTAATCTGGCACTAATTTCTGTTAGCATAATTTAAAATTTCATCATTATACTGACTCAGAAATTGTGCAGATGGTTGTAAATCCACAGCAGAAAGCAGTGATGAAAATGAGGAAGGTGTAGCAGAAACACACTATTGATAGGTTAATTAAGTGTATTCTAACCTAACCACTGTAATCCTGCAAACTCACTAATCCGGCACACTACAGGTCCCAATGATGCTGGATTAGTGATGCTTGACCTGTACTACAAGATATATTACCACCCCTCAAGAAAAGCTCCTTGATGCAAGTAAAGGGCTCTTGATCCAAGGAATAGAATTTATCCTCTTTCTTGAATCAGAGGCTGACTCCCATTTCCCAGGTGCTATGACCCAAGGAAAAAAGAAATGGTTATAACTATGTTATAACTATGCTGGTTTCTTTTTCTGTCTCATAAACACGCTAAGATAACAGGGATATCTTGCTACTCCTACTTACACTTTGGTCACACTTCATAGACACGCACATGCATATATATATATACATACATCTAGGTTTTTCTCCTTTTTCTAAATAGCTCTTGTTCTTTTTTATTTCTTCTATTGTCCATGGGGAAGTGGAAAAGAATCTTTCCTCCGTAAGCCATGCGTGTCGTATGAGGCGACTAAAATGCCGGGAGCAATGGGCTAGTAACCCCTTCTCCTGTATACAATTACTAAAAAAGAGAAGAAGAAAAACTTTATAAAACTGGGTTGCTTAAATGTGCGTGGATGTAGTGCGGATGACAAGAAACAGATGATTGCTGATGTTATGAATGAAAAGAAGTTGGATGTCCTGGCCCTAAGCGAAACAAAGCTGAAGGGGGTAGGAGAGTTTCAGTGGGGGGAAATAAATGGGATTAAATCTGGAGTATCTGAGAGAGTTAGAGCAAAGGAAGGGGTAGCAGTAATGTTAAATGATCAGTTATGGAAGGAGAAAAGAGAATATGAATGTGTAAATTCTAGAATTATGTGGATTAAAGTAAAGGTTGGATGCGAGAAGTGGGTCATAATAAGCGTGTATGCACCTGGAGAAGAGAGGAATGCAGAGGAGAGAGAGAGATTTTGGGAGATGTTAAGTGAATGTATAGGAGCCTTTGAACCAAGTGAGAGAGTAATTGTGGTAGGGGACTTGAATGCTAAAGTAGGAGAAACTTTTAGAGAGGGTGTGGTAGGTAAGTTTGGGGTGCCAGGTGTAAATGATAATGGGAGCCCTTTGATTGAACTTTGTATAGAAAGGGGTTTAGTTATAGGTAATACATATTTTAAGAAAAAGAGGATAAATAAGTATACACGATATGATGTAGGGCGAAATGACAGTAGTTTGTTGGATTATGTATTGGTAGATAAAAGACTGTTGAGTAGACTTCAGGATGTACATGTTTATAGAGGGGCCACAGATATATCAGATCACTTTCTAGTTGTAGCTACACTGAGAGTAAAAGGTAGATGGGATACAAGGAGAATAGAAGCATCAGGGAAGAGAGAGGTAAAGGTTTATAAACTAAAAGAGGAGGCAGTTAGGGTAAGATATAAACAGCTATTGGAGGATAGATGGGCTAATGAGAGCATAGGCAATGGGGTCGAAGAGGTATGGGGTAGGTTTAAAAATGTAGTGTTAGAGTGTTCAGCAGAAGTTTGTGGTTACAGGAAAGTGGGTGCAGGAGGGAAGAGGAGCGATTGGTGGAATGATGATGTAAAGAGAGTAGTAAGGGAGAAAAAGTTAGCATATGAGAAGTTTTTACAAAGTAGAAGTGATGCAAGGAGGGAAGAGTATATGGAGAAAAAGAGAGAAGTTAAGAGAGTGGTGAAGCAATGTAAAAAGAGAGCAAATGAGAGAGTGGGTGAGATGTTATCAACAAATTTTGTTGAAAATAAGAAAAAGTTTTGGAGTGAGATTAACAAGTTAAGAAAGCCTAGAGAACAAATGGATTTGTCTGTTAAAAATAGGAGAGGAGAGTTATTAAATGGAGAGTTAGAGGTATTGGGAAGATGGAAGGAATATTTTGAGGAATTGTTAAATGTTGATGAAGATAGGGAAGCTGTGATTTCGTGTATAGGGCAAGGAGGAATAACATCTTGTAGGAGTGAGGAAGAGCCAGTTGTGAGTGTGGGGAAGTTCGTGAGGCAGTAGGTAAAATGAAAGGGGGTAAGGCAGCCGGGATTGATGGGGTAAAGATAGAAATGTTAAAAGCAGGTGGGGATGTAGTTTTGGAGTGGTTGGTGCAATTATTTAATAAATGTATGGAAGAGGGTAAGGTACCTAGGGATTGGCAGAGAGCATGAATAGTTCCTTTGTATAAAGGCAAAGGGGATAAAAGAGAGTGCAAAAATTATAGGGGGATAAGTCTGTTGAGTGTACCTGGTAAAGTGTATGGTAGAGTTATAATTGAAAGAATTAAGAGTAAGACGGAGAATAGGATAGCAGATGAACAAGGAGGCTTTAGGAAAGGTAGGGGGTGTGTGGACCAGGTGTGTTTACAGTGAAACATATAAGTGAACAGTATTTAGATAAGGCTAAAGAGGTCTTTGTGGCATTTATGGATTTGGAAAAGGCGTATGACAGGGTGGATAGGGGGGCAATGTGGCAGATGTTGCAAGTGTATGGTGTAGGAGGTAGGTTACTGAAAGCAGTGAAGAGTTTTTACGAGGATAGTGAGGCTCAAGTTAGAGTATGTAGGAAAGAGGGAAATTTTTTCCCAGTAAAAGTAGGCCTTAGACAAGGATGTGTGATGTCACCGTGGTTGTTTAATATATTTATAGATGGGGTTGTAAGAGAAGTAAATGCGAGGGTCTTGGCAAGAGGCGTGGAGTTAAAAGATAAAGAATCACACACAAAGTGGGAGTTGTCACAGCTGCTCTTTGCTGATGACACTGTGCTCTTGGAGATTCTGAAGAGAAGTTGCAGAGATTGGTGGATGAATTTGGTAGGGTGTGCAAAAGAAGAAAATTAAAGGTGAATACAGGAAAGAGTAAGGTTATGAGGATAACAAAAAGATTAGGTGATGAAAGATTGAATATCAGATTGGAGGGAGAGAGTATGGAGGAGGTGAACGTATTCAGATATTTGGGAGTGGACGTGTCAGCGGATGGGTCTATGAAAGATGAGGTGAATCATAGAATTGATGAGGGAAAAAGAGTGAGTGGTGCACTTAGGAGTCTGTGGAGACAAAGAACTTTGTCCTTGGAGGCAAAGAGGGGAATGTATGAGAGTATAGTTTTACCAACGCTCTTATATGGGTGTGAAGCGTGGGTGATGAATGTTTGCAGCGAGGAGAAGGCTGGAGGCAGTGGAGATGTCATGTCTGAGGGCAATGTGTGGTGTGAATATAATGCAGAGAATTCGTAGTTTGGAAGTTAGGAGGAGGTGCGGGATTACCAAAACTGTTGTCCAGAGGGCTGAGGAAGGGTTGTTGAGGTGGTTCGGACATGTAGAGAGAATGGAGCGAAACAGAATGACTTCAAGAGTGTATCAGTCTGTAGTGGAAGGAAGGCGGGGTAGGGGTCGGCCTAGGAAGGGTTGGAGGGGAGGGGGTAAAGGAGGTTTTGTGTGCGAGGGGCTTGGACTTCCAGCAGGCATGCGTGAGCGTGTTTGATAGGGGTGAATGGAGACAAATGGTTTTTAATACTTGACGTGCTGTTGGAGTGTGTGCAAAGTAACATTTATGAAGGGATTCAGGGAAACCGGCAGGCCGGACTTGAGTCCTGGAGATGGGAAGTACAGTGCCTGCACTCTGAAGGAGGGGTGTTAATGTTGCAGTTTAAAAACTGTAGTGTAAAGCACCCTTCTGGCAAGACAGTGATGGAGTGAATGATGGTGAAAGTTTTTCTTTTTCGGGCCACCCTGCCTTGGTGGGAATCGGCCGGTGTGATAATAAAAAATAATAATATGACCATAATTTTTTAAAGGGGTGGACTGGTAAGCCAGCATCAGGAAGCACTTGTCCTGTTTCCTGATGAACCTTACCTAACCTAGCACTTCCCATTAATATAATAAACAACTTTATAAGGACCTTAAACTAGCAAAACAGGACAACAACAATGTTCACAATGGTACCTTTCATATTATATTAGCCTGTTTTAATTAAAATTTTTTTTTTTTTTTACAACAAATCAGTTTTTAGCATACACAATCCCTTTGTATTCACATCTTCAGTCAATAAATAACTCTTTTGTGAAAAGGATCACTCAGTTCACATTTAGGAACTTGTAATTTGCAAAAGCATCACTGTCTCCACTTCTCTGCTCTGGGGAACAGTGGTAACGCAGTAGCTATTATTGCACTGGAAATATCTCCTGTGAATCGCCATAAAGTACAATGCAGCTTGTAATTTTGTCAATACATATTTAAAAGTGAATACAGGAAAGAGTAAGGTTATGAGGATAACAAAAATATTAGGTGATGAAAGATTGGATATCAGATTGGAGGGAGAGAGTATGGAAGAGGTGAATGTATTCAGATATTTGGGAGTGGACGTGTCAGCGGATGGGTCTATGAAGGATGAGGTGAATCATAGAATTGATGAGGGGAAAAGGGTGAGTGGTGCA